TGTTTTACAATTGAAATAAATACATTGAAAAATATAAAAACAAATAAAAATTATACTTTAGGCCGACTGGAATTCTTTCGGATAACCGACGTTTCGGATAAACGATGCTCTACTGTATTTACATTGTAATCTGAACATAATCTATTCGCATTTGGTTTTAAAATTAAATTATAGAAATTTCGGGGAAAAAACAAGAATTATACACAGAAATGTAAAATGTAAATTTCTACATTCTGTTATAAAAAAATTTTCTATTATATGTTTATTGATTATTTATACATTTTGGCTTATAAAACCCGACCCATATTTGAATAACGTTATAACCGAATCGTTATGTATATATATATATACTGTAGTTTTTAAATCCTTTGATTATTTTTTAATTTAGAGGGCAATTTTGGATTATTTGTATTTTCCGGATTCTGTGAGCACTCTTGCACTAACAAATACGGATAAACGGGAGTTTTGCTTATATACAGTGATATTCGTTATTATAGCCTGTAATATTGTTCATTTCTTTTCTTTTTAAACTAGAAAGGTTATTTTGTTTTCTATGGGCACAAAAGCCTTTTACTGTGTTAAAAATTAGCAGTAAAAATATTCATTCGAAAGTTTTAGATTGCTGTTAATGTTAAATTACATCTTTTTATACAGTTATACAGCGATTTTATTGGAATTTATAAGATTGCTCCTGCCAATCTTCGACTGGAATTCAAATTAAAGGTTCGTTATCGTATATTTTGATATTGAATATTTTATATTCTCTAAATATATTTATAAATATTTGCAGATTTTGAATTTTATGAAACGATTTGGTAAAATGCCTCTTGGAATTTCCGTGGGTGGTTTCTTCTTTATCAAACAGAATTTTGAAATGAAGGTTCGGAAAATAATATTTTCTTTTATAAATATAAAATTCGTTTGATAAAATACAAGTAGACCCCCCTATAACACTGTTGATAATTCTGTATTATATGAATTCCATGTTGTACGAGTCACTTAGATTTTACAAATATGTGAGCCGTTCACAGCCCGGCACACGTATTTGTAAAATCTAAGTGACTCGTACAACATGGAATTCATATAATATAGAATTATCAACAGTGTTATAAGGGAGGTCTACTGTATATTCAAAACAAAAACATGTGAGATGTAAACAATTGCGGAAAGAAAAATTTATGACAATTTAGACGACAATCGAGCTTTTCTTAGCAGTTTTGTTTCCTACAATTTTCTTGGATGCAAATTGTAAAAAACAAAACTGCTAGGAAGAAAAATTTGAAGCTTGTAATCTGTAAGCTTGAAGTTAAGCTATAAAAGTAAAATAACTCAGTAAAAGTATCGTCTTCCGTCTTCTCAAGCCGTTTAATTGAGGTGTTTGAAATTTAGGTTTGTTAGGAACACACCTTTATATTGAGGGACCAACTCAGGGTTGCATGTATCGTTTACAAGCTATCGTGTACTTGTCCAAGAACGAAACATTACATAGGAGAAACAGGAAGGAAGTTGGAGACACGGTTAAAAGAACAGGAAACTGCTATTAGATTAAATAGACAAAAATCGCCGTGGTGTCTATATTGTAATAAATTTAGTTGTAAAATAAACAAGAATAATGTTAAAATATTGTATAAAGTAAAAAACGATAAACAAAAGAATGAAGAAAATGCAGCTTTTTGCCTGATTTCATTGCTTATACATTTCGGTATTTCGGCAACCGTTTTATATATAAACCTGGAATTTTGCATCGTACACAAGCAAAGAAGTGTCTTTCGAACAAGATATTCAGAATTGATATAGGCATTTGGGAGCGTAAAAATTAAACTTTGAAAATAGGCAACTTTAATTGTTGTGTGTATAGTCAGTAACTTTTACATGAAGCGAATTCACTACCGTGACTTTCTTATTAGAAGAAATTACACTTCGGTATTAAATTTTGAACTTAACGTTTCACTGTTATAAGAAAACATTTTATCGGCTGTTTGTTGTAGCGTATGTACCGTACTTTAATTAATGCTGAAATAAAAATTTTTTTACTACACACTTTTATAGGTCTGCCATATTTCCCGATAGTAGAAATTAGACATTTTGTTCATACGAAATATAATTTTTATTTTCTTATGTGTTTCAGGTGGCAAAACTGCTCGAGTCGATTTTCTCGACCTTACTCGAACTAAGGGATATGAATAAAAAGAGACAGTGTGTGCCCAGATTTAGTGCGACAGAAAATCATTTGAACAGTTCTTTATTACGACCGTTCAATGCTACTTTTTAATAGTTGACATAATCTATATATATATATAAATGGACGTGTGTGTCCCTATATTTCACTTTTTAGCCAAAACTACACATCGCACATGAATGGTGTTTGTTGTATGTAGTGGTAGACCCGTCTTTATTCGTGCACTACGGTGGTTGCGTCTCGATAGCTATACGGGTGCGGAAGATATGGAGTTGAAAGTGGTTGACTTCGAAGATGTGTAACAATGGAAGTGTCAACAATGGAAGTGTTAACAGTGGAAGTGTTAAAAATGAAAATGTTAACAATGGAAGTGTTGAGTAACAAAGAAAGTGTTAATATAAAGCGGCATGCAAGATTTACAGGCAGTTTTTTGCGTTTTTGCGGGTCCTTGCAGCTAGATTCTATGTTACCTAGAAAAACAGTCTTTTATATATTTAAAAAAAAAAACTATATTACATACAAATAAAAACCCAGCGAAGCGGGTCCTTGCAGCTAGTTAAATATAATATTATTGATACTCTTTCTTGTTAATTATGTAATTTATCAAGAAAGAGTATCAACAATAGAGTATCAATCAAAAAATTTTTGTAAAGATTGTAATGTTCTGAATGAATCTTTGTATTTTAATACTGATTAACTTTTCAAAAGCGTTAATTCATTCAGAAATACATTTTCTTTCAGAAAACTTGGAGTAATATTAAATAACAGTCCCGTTATAAATAGACATTTGTATTAAGTATACGTTTATTGATACAGGGCTATTATTTAATTATACAGTTAAAGCAAAATAAAAAAAGGTGAAGTTGAAGTAAGTTAAAATTGAAACAGGAGTTGCCAGAAATCACTTTATGGTGGCGCAAGTATATAAAATACAAAATAAGGATCTCTTGTAACGTTCATATTCTATATTCACTTTGCTTCTACGTAGCATAATAAATATCATTCGAAAACTATTTAAAATGGCCGATATAGCGATGCTTCTGAGTGAGTAAAAATTTCGGCCTACCAGTGGCCGGATGGATAAAACCACTAAACACTGGTAGTTGGTCGTGGTTTCGCGCCTGTCCAACGGGCTGGCCACGTGGAGTTTGAGTTTTCCGGGTTTTCTTCACGTTGTAATACCTGAATAGGGACCAGTTTCTCATAGAAAGTCCTCCCGGGAGGCATCACCCTAGTCAGATCGATTATTAGTCGCGTTGTCGCTTAGAAACATAATGTAAACAGTTAGAAAATGAGAATTAGTCACACAAAATTTTACTCCTAGACAACTTCGGCAAGAAGAACTGCGCTCGAAATCTCTTAAACTAAACTATTTTAATAAGTATTTTAATTTTAAGCTTGGAATAGAGTATAATACAGTAAAAAAATTTTAATTTTACAGCAGCTAAACTTTAAATTCAATTGAGCAAATATTTAAGAAATTTTTAAATATTTCACTAATTAAAATATTACTTTTCAATAATTTGGAATTTCTATTGTATTAATCAACAATCGGCAGACTTATTTATTCAAATTTTATAACTGAATTTTAGTAATTTTTTGAACAAATAAAGAAATTCGAAAAAACACTGATAAAATAAATGAAATGATAATTTTATTAATTCACTTGCTTTGTAAATATAGTGGATTAATGTGAATAATTTCTAGTGATTAAAAAGACAGAACATAGAAAATACACATTTGAAATTATTCATACATTACTACAGTAGACACACAGATTTATACTGAAAGTAATACAAAAATAATAAGCAGAAAGCACATAAGATTAATATATTGTTCGCATATTTCAATTGATTGAATAAGATGTGCTTTATATAACTATTTCTATCAGTACTATTTCTATCAGTGTTTTTTCATCAACACTGATAGAAATAGTACACATAAAATAAAATATTCCCTTAATGTTGCACTAAAATTCATTGTAAATAATATCTTTGTTTGATAACTTGTATTTTTCTTCTTACCATAATGTAATATTAACCCCTGTTCGCATGAAATAAATTTTCGTGATGTACTTTTACACTTAGAATAAAATCTATAATCAACAATGTTTCTATTGATTGATTTCTATGTTTTTTAAAACTTTAAAAAACGCAGAAATTTATCATTTAATTAGAATTAATTAGAAAACAGTGAATTAGGAGAGTGAATTTATGTACATTTGATTTATAAATGTTCTATTTTAATATAATCTAGTAAGAGTGTTAAAGATTGTCGTGGGAAACGTTCATTATCACAACAAAATAATTTTGTTTCATAAACAAAGGAGATTTCTACTGTTTATCAATTCTTAATTTCTTTATATTAATTAATTTGGGTATTAGTTTAGTATTCGCTTGTATTTCAAAATTAGCAAATTAATGAGAAAAAATTAGACTGTTGTCCAAATTGTGATCATTTTTAACTTGGAACAATTTTCGTACATCCAGACGTTTTGTTTGGATAATTAATATTTAAATTTAACGAATACGGTATTTAGAAAAATTTAATTCGTTTACTTAAAAAATAAAAAATAAAATCGATTCAAATATTCGANCCAGAAAAGTAAAATTTTCTGGGTACCGCTTCCAGGTGCCAAATTTATCTTTACCAAAAAAATACAAAAAAAAAAAAACAATTATATGAGAAGAAATTAGACTGTCGTCCAAATTGTGATAATTTTTAACTTGGAAGAATTTTCTTACATCTACGATTTTTGTTTGGATAATTAATATTCGACTTTAACGATTATAAATGACAGTTAATAAAAAGAACAAAAATAAATTCAAATATTCGAACGGAAACATTCTACAATTCTGCTCTGATAAACCGAACGTTTAACTAGAAAATCTTGGGCAGAAAAATGCATTGGCTTAAATTATTACTGAAAATAGGACTTATAATCTCTATTAATTTTTATAATTGTGTCTTAAATGAAGATTCCTACTGGATACGCGGGATCTCTTGGGTTAATATACAAAATATTTCATACGAAACGGATATTCTTTACTTCTTTTTCATGCTGAGATTAGGGTATGTGAAATTTCGACTTTATAAAATACCTTCCGTTTTTTCTGCTGCAACGAAAGTTTACCTGTGCACAGGAGACAAAATATACAAATATCATCTGAAAAATCTGCGACGATTATTCTTTGTTGAAGGAAACACAATCTTCGGATACTCCTACAATAATATACTTACCGCACGATTAGAATTAGACAAATATATTTATTATGTCGAACCAATTGGTGAGTATCGTTTTATGGGTTTCAAAGATACGAATATTATTTATGACGCAAAAAACGTTAAATATAAAATTAAACGGCAAAATATAAATCTTATTTGTGACGAACTAACGAATGAAACTGAATCGGTGGACACAAACTGCGATTACGCAAAGCCCAGCAAAAGTAAATTCAATATTCACAATAGGAAAAGGTAAGGTTGCATTTGTTTTACAATTATTAATGTGTGTAAAATTTATTATACATTTTATTATGTAGGAATCGAAGAAGTTGCTCGTTAGAACTGTTGGCAGACTACACGTACATTCGAAAAATGAATTTCGACATTGAAAAAACAGTAGGACAAATGATGTTCTACGCTATGCATGCAGATTATGTTTTTAAAAATTTAGACCTAGACGAAGATGGAATTCCTGATAGAATAAGGTTTAATGTGAAGAAGGTTACGCTTTTTCGAGACGAAACAAGCCCCGAATCTCCTTTTCGGAAAAATTTTAAATACAATTATACGACGTTTTTAGATCATTTAGCTCAATATTCTCATCCCTATTGCATGCTGATCTGTTTTTGTCATAGAGATTTCGGGTCTAACTCGACGTATTCAGTAGGAAAAGCGAGGAGGTATATGTTCCCATCAAACACTTAACGGTGTTAAGATAATGAATAATGTAGCTTTCGTTACGGATATAGAAAACGGTCTGCAATTGCCAATGCTTGAAGTACCGCAAATGTACTGCATCAATTGGGTCATGCATTTGGTTGTCCACACGATCCCCGAAATTGTAAACGAAAAGATACCAGCGGATATTACATCATGCATCCTAACATTCGTGTTTGGGCTTCCGGTACTTTTAATTTTTCTACGTACTGCAAGAAGAAAATCAGACAATTCATAGAAAGAAAAGGTAAGGAAGATTGAACAATGTCTGGTTTAATATGTAATACAGTAGAGCCTCGAAAACTCAGCCTAATGTGGACCGAAGGGTGGCCGAGTTTGTGAAAATGCCGAGTTATCGGGAATGGGGTTAAAAAAGGATAAGTATGCGTGCTTCCTCAGAAAATATTGTACTGTAATTCTATGTATTGTTTATTCTCTGTTGTATTCTTGTATTCTCAAGCAAACTGCCCAAATAAGACAGACCTGAGAAAAATACTTTATGAGGCATAAAGCTGTCTATAATGAAAATTAATTATCTAAGGTTATTTTTGCGCTGCCAGGGTGTGGCCGAGTTATCCGGAGTGCCAGGTTATCGAGTGCCGAGTTTTCGAGGCTCTACTGTATTTCCAAAATATTAATTTTAACCAGATTATATAATATATCCGATAATGACATGATACATGCCATCTTGCTACAATGAACGGTAGCGATTTTCATAATTTATCGTAGTTATCTTCATCTATCGATTTCGATTGTTGTTTCTCATTCCTACCGTTTGATCTATTTTCAGATACAATTTTTTTAATAGGCAAAATTAAGATGTACCGCTGGTAGCTTGCCATTTCTTCGTGTAAGCAAACCCAATCAATTGCCATCTGTTTAATTCCCAACTATAAATGTACCTGTACAATGTATGAGTGTGAAATACCTGTAATTTAGTATATATCTTATAAAATTCTCTTGCGTGTCTTTTCTACGAACTTTTACAGAAAGGCTTAATCTTTTCATTCTCTATTTAATACCTGCTTTTTCACTTCACTGCAAAAAATTCAATTCATTACCAAGTCATAACACAACGACTTATGAACATGTCATGAAGAAAAACACTTCAATCACAAATGTTGCGTATTAATGATTTCAAAAGCCATCTCTCACATGGGTCAGTTTTCATTAATTATCAGACTGCCATTTTCTGATTATAGCATTTGTAACGAAGATATACTTTAAAGGCGTATCGTTGGGCTGTCAGGTTGTAATTAAGTTTTCATTTTTTTACTATTATTTCACTTTTAATTAAAATTGGTTTCAGTCGGTTAATTTGTTTAATGGGATTTGGCAAGGAAACGCATAGGCAATGTGCCAACGTAAAATGCATCGCGGGGTTTCTAAGGGAATCGTGTCCTAATTTAAGTGTTTTCAGACAATTCTAGTGCCTTGTATGAACTACAGCATTTTCGTAAAACTACATGCGATCATAACTTATACAACTCCCATAGCACTCATCTTATCATATTTTGTTAGCATTTTCTGGTTATGTTGCTCTGCATTTATTGCAAATCTCATATGATGTATATGGCAACCGTTAATTACTTTGTAATTTTATACTAGAATTTTCATTGAAATTTGTGTAACTTTGTATTTTTTCTTTAGAAATAGATTTCTGTTTGAAGTCACTCCAACGATCTGTGTGTGGAAATGGAATTGTCGAGGATGGAGAATCCTGCGACTGTGATTACTCTACCGGTAAATGTAATATACAGAAGACGTGCTGCACAAATAAAAATTCTCCATTACCGTGCACGATTCAAAGAAAAAAAGATTGCTCACCTGCTACAGACGAGTGTTGCAATTCAAATTGTAAACTGAATACACGCAACGATATAAAGTGTTTAAGCAACATACTATGTCATAACACTACCGACGTATGTGCTACTAATTCGTCATTTTGTCTAATGAAACGACAGCCAGACCGATTACCGTGTATAGGTACATCGAAAACTTGTCGTTCTGGGAAATGCATAAGCAACGTTTGTAAAGACAATGGGCTAAAAAGTTGCAGTTGTTTGCCTTTGAAATGGGAATGTCATATTTGTTGCGAAAGCAAACCTAAAATCTGTCAAAGCGCCGAATCACTCGGTTACGTTCCATCGAATCATCAACTCTATATAAAAGTAGAAGGATCATATTGCGATAAAAATTTTGGAATATGCATGAGGTAGGTGATCCTCATTACTTACATTATATTTTACAATATAATTTTATTAATACATGATATTTCCACAGTGACTGGAGCTGCTTATCAAAGAAAGGTTACAGTGTCTGGTACTATATATCACCGTTGCCTTTCGTTATTTTAATTATTGTAGGTTTAACGTATCTTCCCGGAAGATCTAAATCAAATTACAACGAAGACATTCTAACGACAATACGAAAGAAAAAGGTGATGAAATCGCAACAGAAAGATAAAGAAGAGAAACAATCTTCAATTAAAACGATCAAACAGGAAGTGCATTCGTTAAGTATAAAATCCAAGAAAGATGAACAATTACTAACGCAAAAAGAACAAGAAGCTCAATTACCTACTGAAGTCAAGAAAAAGATTCAATTGCCTATTCGATTGAAACAAAAGCAAAAGCAGATACCAATGAAAACCATCAAGAAACAAACGCAGGGTGAACCTTCTCCAGTCCAAACACAAGTCGAGCGAGGAGAGCAATCGAGTAGTCGAACAAATCCAGCCAAAAAAGTAAAAGTATTCGTCAAGAAAAAGTTAAAACCGAAGACATTAAAAGATGAAAATTGAAATATCATTATTTGCATCCAAAATATTTTCTCGCTTCGCGATAAATTTCAATTTCTATGACTAGAAATAAGTTTCATTTCTCTCGAAAATTTCATCGCGTTTTTCTGCTTATACCCTAACTATAAATTGTTGTATGAACATATGTATAAATTCTAAGGTATTTAAAAGCTAATTTCTTCAACAGATCTTTAATTTAAAACATTTCTATGAAATATATAAAATCGATTGCGTAAACTTAAATTTTAGTTAAGTATAGTAGTATTGTCTGTTAAACACCTCGTATAACACGAATTCTTTATAAGGCGCTTCTCGATACTCTCCGATCACTGTGACAAGGTGGCATATAGCGATGGATATTTGATTCATTTAAGAAAAATGACTAATACTTTTTTAGGACAACTAACCGCTTTTGCTGACCATGCAATCTAGCAAAACTTTTCGGCAATCTTTTCAAATTAAGAAATGAATTATTTTATTAAAGGATTAAATATTGTAAAGAAAGTGGAATAAAAACGAATGAAAGTATTAAATGATTAGTGTTATTTTATTAAATTACATAATATAAACTGATCGCAGATATTAAAACATAATTTTTACTTTATTCTTCTATACCAAACGAAAAAGTACAAAGTGTTGAAGATATTCTACAATATGTGACACAGGTAGAGGTGAAGTGACAGAGTTCAACGATAACCATTAATTGGTACGAGTTAATTTAAAACACCTTTATTCTCATTTACGAGATAACTCGTCACGTTTAATAGCATTACGAAAAACTCGGTCCTTAAGGCCACTTTTGACAAAATTTTTTTTTTCAATTGTTGGAATGTTTTTTAGGTCCACAAATTTTTGCAAAAAATTTGTGGACTTAAAAACCCGCACGAAAAAATTTTATCGCGATTTTAATGAGCCTTTGATAAGGCTCGATTAAGGCTTAATTGTTTTTTAATGGGAGTTTTTTATCAAATTTAATTAATCGTTCTAAGATTGTAGTGCACGGATTTTACTTCGGTAAAGTTATTTAAAGTGGCTATCTGATGTCAAAAACGACCTCCAATAGTTTTTAATTTTTTTTAATTAATATATTTTATTTTTTATAAATTTAATTAATTAGGGGGGTCGGAAATCGCAATAAAATTTTTAATTTTTTAAAAATATTTAAAAATAAAATGTTTACTTTCAGTTTTA